TCAGCAAGAGTCTATAGTGAGCAGGTCTGGTTGCCGCCCAAGGGGAGGGTTCTCCCTCCTAGTTATCCTCTATTATAAATATGTTATTTTCTATTTTAGGGTTTAGTTTTTGGCTTCAAATTATTTCTATCGTCGGCTTCTTTCCTCTTGCTAGGATTGTATCTAAGGACAGGTGGTGCTTTGATTGTATCCTGCTCTGAGGGACATTCAACATGCCATAGATCAAAATTTCCTTCTATTTTTCTTTTCTTTCTGATTTTCTCCCGATTTAACTATTTCAATGTGGGGGTTTTTACTTGAGGGACTATTTATTTGTTGTTATTTTCTTATTTGGGAGATTTTTTATTTGGTTTGTGAGTTGTAGAATCTATATCTTTGATCTCTACCCTAATAAAGTGTTTTATCCTTTTCTTTTTACAAAGCGTGTGTTTGTAGCTTTTGCTAGAACAGATAGTGAACCTCCTTGACACTTGTACCCTGTCGTTTTGACGCTATCTTTATTTTTTTTTATCCGCGCCGAACATCGTTTATCTCGTTCCAAATACCGTCAACTGCCACTACTATCATTCCTCGCTATTCCGCAGCCACCACCTCCCTGCTAATTTTACTTCCCAAATGTCTTCTAAGAGCCCTAGAATGGTAGCACTAACATGGCTCAAGGCACTACTATAACAAGAATCATGCTAATGATTTACCAAATTCACCACATCTTATGTCTTAATTGGAGTCAATGGACTATAACACAAACGAGTAAAAAAATAAAAGTACATTAGAAAGAAAGAAAATAAATCACATGATTTTCAAAATAAGCAAAAAGTAGATTCGATGTTTGCTTTTAACTCTGATGATGAGTCTTAAGATGCCCTGTACCACCAACACAACAACCAAAACTTATCACTTGCATTCTTAGAGTCCTATTGTCTACCTTCGATCACTATCTCCATGATACTGGAGTTAACCAATATCATAATAGAACAACAAATATTATTACTTGTAGCAAATAAACGGTTACAAGCAACAAAATTGAAAGGAGAAATGCAATAACATGATACAAGCAAACACCACTAATGTGTATCCTAAGGTTGGTGGGGTCGGCTAAGTAGATAGGAATGACCGGCAAGGGTGGAGGCAGCAAGTGATGCTAGTGGTGGTGAGGGGGAGGTGCGAAAATATAGGGACAGCAAGTAGGTTGCTGTCTTGGATGGTGGCAATGAGGAGTTGGGTTGGTTAGCAAAGGAACAACAGGAAAGAGGTGTTCTCAGTTGGGTTGGTTAGCTAAGGAACAACAGGAAAGAGGTGTTCTTTGGCTTTCCTGGGCAGCAGTGGCATAGTGGGTAGGCTGGAACAGTAGAAAGGAGGTGCGGTTTGGGCAGAAGCAATTCTGAAAGGGAGGGGAAGGCGGCCAGTAGGCTGAAGACTCCGGAAAACAGCAATCTGAGTGTTGTTGCTGGCGGCTGCAGTGAGGTACGACGGCAAGGAGCGATGTGGGAGGACGTGGAAGTGAATAGGAGGAAGGTAATCCCCATCTCGGGAGAGAGATATAGCCGGCGCACCACCCAATCAATCGGATACAACTCTCGAAGGAAAAACAGATGTCAACGGCTGTTTTGACAGAAATCTGAAATCTGGAATTAATTAGAAGTTAACCGTAAGCAAGCAAAACCACAACTATATACTAGCCAAGAGATAAAATATATAGGGGAGGCTTCCCCTTTGGTTGGCAACCAAAAAAAAAAAGGGGCGAAGGGCGGTAAAAGGACTCATGGAGGAGGGAGGCACGGTATCTCCCTGTTCATGAGATGACCAGCCGGTCCAGCAGAGGCTGGACCTGGTGCTATCCTGGCTGGTTTAGCCGGCCATCCTGCCAGCCGGTTCAGCCAGTCTCCAAAACCCGACATCCCGCTTCCAATTCCCTGTGTCACTCCAGTTCCTCCTTGTACCACTCCCTCCTCTGCCACCTGCTGCCATTACTTTACATTGTTCTCCAGAGTTTAGCCAAGGTCTGGAACAAGGAGAAAGAGCTCACAGTTCAATAACTGCTGTCTGCAACAATTCAAATGCAGAATATATCAGCCTTCTGCTCTCCAATGAAAAAAAAGGTCTAAATCAAAAAACTTGTTGGTACAGTCAGATAGGAACCCAAAGTAGACAGAAAAGAGCATTTTCTGAAAGAAAAAATATAGCTTTGTACCTTTAATTAGAATGGTAGGATACTAGGTCTCACCAAAAGAAATCCATATACCTTTTCTTACTCATTTAAGCTTTTTATTGCAGAATTGTATCATTATGTTAGCAGTTTAGCGTCAGATCACCTATTAATTTGTTACTTTTTTTGTATTTACAATCATGTAGATAATTGTGGTTTATGCAAGTATGAATCTTTAATGTGTTTTAAGTGTGTTTATGCTTTCTTTATGGAACAGTTTTAAAATTTGTTACCATGGTTTCTTCTATACTCTATCTTTACAGGGCATTAAATTCCTGGCTTTATTTTTTATTTGCACATGATTCATAGTTTTAAACTTATAACATGCTGAATGGTTAGAATGACCCTTGTTTTTGTAGGTTTCATGTGAGTTTCCCAAATTGATTTCCTTAATTAAATCTCTCTTGAATATTTTTCATTTTAAAATGTTATTTAACTCGTTAAAATCATAGTTAAGTTACTTCCATTTTGTTAATTTTGAAAAATGACAGGATTTCTAGAATATTATATATTTCGCTGATCCATTTTTTATTAGTTGAATTCTATAGCTGATTTTACACTAAAGAAAAAAAACACAATCTTTCCAATCCCAGGAGCAACATATAGTTGAAACTAAATTCAATGAAATTCATTGTTTGTGGTGACTTGCAATTTTTTTCTGTGATTTAGGTGTAAAATCTCTAATTATTGGTTGCTTAATATTTATCTTCGTTTCTGGTTAATTCCACTTTTCTTGTAATAACATTATTTAATGTCAGGGATTTGCATGAATTTTTTGTAAATTGTTGTAGTTTTCTCCATGGCATGTAATTATGATAATTTGTAGGTCATGGACTTCAACTACAGAATGTAATTATGTATTGTACTGAGCTTTCACCTTCTTTTCCAGATGGTGCCATGGCAGTCCTGTACATAGATATGGTCTGTATGCTCTGCAATGGATAGTTGAAGTAAATGGGAAATTGACGCCAGATTTAGATACCTTCTTAAAAGTTGTTGAGGTATACTCTCTGAATTTTTTAATATTATGCCAAGTTGTTCAATTTTAAGATATTACTAATTCATTAGTCTATGGAATCAAGGCTAGGCTTCTCAATACTTGTATCTAAGTATTGATTATTGCAAATGCTTATGAATTTTCACATTTCCTGACTATTTTTTATTCTTACATTATATGTGTTTAATTTAAATGCTCAATTTTTTAACTAGTATGCAAATCATACTTATTATAACTGGTAATTAAAGAAGTACATGAAAATAAAGTTATATGGGACGGCTATCAAGGAAGAAAAAAGAAATACATCAAATCAAGTATATAAAGTGTAGAGAGTAATGATTTTCTTAGAGGAGGTGATAATGCGAACATTCAAACAAACACCAAGTCCAAAATGCCAAAATTGTTGAGGAGTTATATCACGCCTGGAATTTAGTAAATCTAGAAGAATGGAGAAAGATATTCCTCCAATTTTGAAAATACCAATTGAAATATTTTGTTTACTAAATCAATGAAACTTTTCGTGGACTCTGAAAATTCATGCTCTACTCTTTCAAAGGAGTAGTAGTTTCAGGTTAAATTTTTTGAGCTTAGATTGGATTTTAGATAAAAACAACCCAAATATTTGTTGACCTGTATACATACTATATATTCTACCCAATCGTGTTTAGAATTTTAGGAGTTATACTTAAATTCTTATGAAATACTCTTTTGACATGTTCACATCTTTAATTCCTATTGATGATATCCTCAAGCTTAAAGGTTTAAAAATGGTCTCGAGATG